GGTGGTAAAATTCAGGCCCGTGGGAGACGCAGTGCTACCTTGTACAACGTTGGAAGTGCTGAAGCGGAACACCGAAGCCGAGAGCGTCGGTTTCAGAATTCGCTGCATCAGCATTGTCTACTGTACGAACCTACATTGAAGTGGAAAACACTCAAGAACGGGCTCGAAGGCTCTCCGGCACCAATATGGGCCCAGAAATGAGGCACCCCAAAACGGGTCCTTCCGGACCATTTTTGACCTTGCTCCTCATTCTTTTTGTTTTTGAAACTTAATCCTCATCGTTTGGCTTGGGGACCCTGTTCCCTGGACAACGACAGCAACAACATTCTGAACTGAAAGAGACGCCCGCAACTTCCGAACCGAAAGAAGCAAGGTACAAAGCACGTAAAAGTCCGCAAATTGTACTTGTAGGGTTCTAGTGCAAATGGCACCGGCACGGCACACTACTTTGTCACAAACCAGCAAAGTCTCTTACCAAAAAAGAGCAAGGCCAACAACACGAAAAAGAAGCTTTCACGCGAATTGAAAGCGCAGAAAACCAGTTACACTGATGGATTCCAGACCAGAGACGTTCTCACGCACATGGCCCTTTGTTGGCTGCTTTAGGATTAGGACATGGCCAACAAGGGACGATTGAACATTGAGGCTTGAATACAACTTGGAAACAGGTGGTCTGTTGCATGTTTTGCCCTGTAGGAACATGTGACAGCATGTTATGTTATATTTGTTTTGGCATGGTAGAAGAAAACAGTGTTTTGGTGCAGAGCCACTTTCTTGGAACCGCGAAACGGAGCGCGATGCAGTTGAGTAACTCCAAACTGTAGTTTCTGCGCCAACACGCAATGGAGATTCCTGCGCTTCGCCATGAAAAATTCAATGGACGGTTACGAGCTTCTCTGGAATGCACAATGCAAGCAACACTCAAATGCTCAAGCACAGCACAGACTTCAGAATGCAATCACTCGCACCAGGATCTTTTCAGACTTGAGCCAAATTGCAAATGTGGTCTTGCCACGGGTGCTCAGATATAGCTAAGAGCAATGTACTCTAACAATGACGGGGGGCAGGGCTTCAAAAGCTTCGATGGTGAGGACGAAAAGGGCTTCGAAGGCTTCGAAGGGGATGAAGGGGGCGGGGTGCTTTTTGGAAGGTGAGTTCGAAGGCAAGGAAGGGGGCTTCGAAGGAGGACGAACGGGGCTTTGGATTGGGGGGGACCAAGGCTCCACGGAGAGGATAGAGGGGACGCGCTCAAAAACTATTTTGGATGCAAGTTTGGGGTATACTGGAACCGACGTTGGCAAAGTGCTTCGACTTGAATCTTTGATTTTTTCTTTTTCGTTTTACACCCCAAAAAAGGCGCTTTTGTGCAAAAGCGTTCTCGTGTGGCTTTCTTCCTTTCACTTTTGTTTTTTCGTTCTTTCATTCTTGTTTCGGTTTTTCGGCCAAAAAACCTTTAGTTTCTTCTTTTTGAAAGACGTCAGGTTCATTTTATTTTTTTTTTGTTTTTGAAGTTTTTACATTCTTGTCATGCCTAGTTTCCTCTGCCAATGCCTTGCAAGCAAATGGGACAAGAGTGCATTTATGTTTAAAAGTAGCTGACCGTGTCCAAAAGAAATAGAGAGAGTGGTTCGTTCAGCGAAAAAACTTCATCAGAGCATAGCAGCGTCTGGAGCACTCGCGGGTGCGAGGTGGTTGGGATCTGGGCAGGGCTGTCTCGGGGTGCAAGCAGTTACGTCGGATGATTTGTTGATTTTGACCTGTAGCCGCTGTAGCTTTTGCAGTGTCTAGCGGCAACAGAGCTTTCATTGGCGACTTTGTCAATGAAGTGATTGCAAAACAACCCACCGTTTTGTGAGAAGAATACGACACCCAAACCCAAGTCGGTCGTTTGTGAGAACCGAGCCAGTTTCTTTTAGAGATGTCTCTTGCGAGCAGCCTCCAACTGCATCGAATGTCAAGATCGGCGCAACTCGAACGGAGGCCTTTGCAGACACTACAACATGCTTGTTGATTTTAACATGTTTAGCTTTCAATTCCCATGAAGATGTTATGAAGATATAGCAATACTTCCACAGCTCGGGTGATGCGGTTAGGACTAGTGGTAAATTTGGTGATTCAGTATGCATAGACGCTCTGTAGTTTCTCATTCAATGTGCCGTATGTTGAGACCTGAGCTTGTCGCCATCATCCTTGGCTTTGGCGCTTGCGCACGCCCAGATTGCAGAGAGGGCACGTGCCAAACCCTTGATCCGTATTTCAATTGTGAGTATGACCGGTCGGGCACCGCAGGAGGCGGCAACACAGTTGCCCCAGCACATTGCAAATACCATGGCAACATCGTAGTGAGAGCGAGCTTCGAGCTTCCCCAAGCCTATGCCAACGACAGTCAACAAAAGTTCTTCGTGCGAGAGGAAGTTTTGGCAGGCTTGGCGGATGTATTCCGCCACGTCAAGTTAAATGGAGAGGAACGGTTCCTACTCCCTGCCCTCTGGTATGGTTTGAAGCATGATGGTCGGTTTCTTCGACGCTGGATCCCGACGGAGGAGCTTCAGCTGGAACACCGTTGGCGAGAGCGGTCGGTGTGGAGCGCGCGACTTGTCTTTGCGGTCGCCTCGCCTGCCGCAACATGCGAGTTGTGCATGTCGCACTTGAGTGTGCCTCTGTACAGTGAGAGTGAGAATGGATTTGCAATGCTTGGAACCGTTTCGCGATTCACAACACATTTCGCTATCATGCAGCGGGTGACACCAGTCGA